GTTGGGAGGCATATAGATGAGCATACCAACCTGCTCAGGTCTCCAATGAGAAAAGAGCAAATACAGCTTAAACTAAGTAGCAGGTAGAACAAAGGCATGTATAAAATTCTATGTATAAATTAATACAGGATATAAGGCACATTCTCTCAGATAGCTAGCAGACAAGAGAAATGCAGTAGAAAGGGCAACCTGGTAAGTGGAAGAGCAAAGCCATTCAGAGGAGGTCCTTATCACCTGCGCAGTGTAGAGATTAGCGGAGATCAGGTAGATTATAATCAGGGATCCTGGTTTTCTGTTTCCCATGGAAAAACAGAGAAAACCACGGATTTCCCATTTTTATCAGAGAAAACATGGATTTTCCCTTTTAGAAGAGAAACCCATGGATTTCCCTCTTTTGTAAAGAGCTTTGAAGGCTGGCAGAGTTCCAGCCTGTAAGAGCTGTTTGCAAAAGGGGTGGGGAAACCCTCAACCCTTCTGGGAGAGGAAGGGAGGAGGGAAGGGCAGGGCCCAACACTCACACTTACCTAAGGCTGCTTCAGGCTCACTCTTCTTGCTGGAGATAGGTGGGGCTGGTGGGCAAGGAGCACAAGCAGGGCTGGGGGGCTGTGAGGGGGAGTGAGGGAAACCAGCAGAGCTGTGGGGGGCATTTAATTTTAACCACAGATTTTGGGTTTTTTATCAGAGAATTTGTGATTTTTTATCACGGAAAACCAGGATCCCTGATTATAATAAACCATAAAGCCAATGTCTTTGTTAAATTCCTGTGTCTTAGCATTCAGTAAGCTAATGAATATTTGTTCACGGGCCCATCTCTTAAAGGTATTTTGTAAATTTCTCTTGAGCACAAGGTCTGCAAGGGCAGAAAGGGAGTGTGTTTTCTGTGAAAGATGTTCTCCTTCCTGTGTTTTAGTGTTTCTGTCCTTTATCTTTTGTTCTGTGATTGTTCATTCTGGTGTGTAATTTTTGTCTAGTTTTACTCTTATAGTGTCCATGAGGGCATTTGGTACACTGGATGAGATTATACCACATTCTGGGAAAGACATGTTGAATCTACGGATTCTGATGGTTTCATTGTGGGGGTGCCGAGTTGACAGTTTTTGCATTTATTATTAAGGAAGGGTTGTGTCCCATTTGGTGCCAGGTGATCAGCTAGGAGTTCTCTTCTGGTGATGAGTTGGTTGACGAATAAACCACTCCCTTTCTACTGTATTGCTCTTATCTGTCAGCTTCCTATAAATCCTTTTTTTATTTACATCCTGTTTTTATTTGCATATGGAATTTTAAGCAGGCCTTTGTTCTATCTGCTGTTTAGTGCAAGCTATTGGCTTTTTTCTCAGAGACCTGAGGAAGGGTTTTGGTACCCGAAAGCATGTCTCTATCCTTTCCAACTATACAGTTGGTCCAATAGAAGTTATCCCAGAAATCCTTGCCTCTTGCATTTTTTCATGGACCATCACAGCTACATCATCATCCCAACACTAATTTGGGAAGACATTTCTGGGCACACATTACACTCTAATCCAAACTATCTATATTAGTCTGTTGTAAGTTTTATGTTCTACATTAGGCCTATCCAACTGGCAACTTTTGGGCCACGTGTGGCCTACAAGGGGTTAATGCATGGCTCACAGGCTCTTATCTACCTGTCGCTCTCCCCCCATCACTCCAAGTGCTAGAGTGTCTGGGGTTTCCCCACCCTCCTCTAGCTGCCACTTCCTGCCTTTGCCCCAGGGAGTGGGACCATGCAGGGAGCTGAGGGTGAGTCTGGGACTTAACCCCAGACAGAGGGATCACACATGTGCAGGGCAGCAGTGATGGGGGATATGCTGGGGGGGATAGTGCCCATGCAGAACAATAGTGGGAGGGGCACCTGCATGAAGTGCCTGGTGTGGCCCCCAGGACTTAGAACTTGGACATCTCTGCTCTACATTTTTTAATCATAGATATAAATGTATGTTGTTTATATTCTGACCTGTAAGTATGGTTTCCTGTTTCATGTGGTTGCAAGCTGCAGGTTGCAGAAACAGATCATTTTAGTCACCTTAGAAAAATCAAATATCTTGTGATTTAATGTTCAGGCAGCTAAGTAACTGAGGTATGTATTTGGCCATCTTAATGTCACTTAAGTTATTTATTTTTTATCAATATGAAAAGTACTGACCACAGTTTTCAGATCTCAATTACTGTGATCTGTCCCAATCAGCTTAGGGTTTGTTTGGTTCTGTTTAATCTTTATAATTCTGTAACTTTATTAGGAGTTGTTCTTCTTCCTTGGGCCTGTTTGTGCCTCAGGAGTGTAGTAACTATCTTTTGTCTCTACAGAGTGGGTTATTAACTGTAATCATTGCTTTATCAGTGAGATTCCCTTGAGTTAGTTGTCTGACAATTTCCTTAACAGAGCTAGAAAACTCCAAGATGAATTATTTTAATAATGGTATCAAGGGCCCTGTCTTGCATAGTATTTGAACCCCTGAAAACTGCTATGCACCATCACTTAATTTCAGAAGAAACTGAGGATTTTCAGGCTCCTAATAGCTTGAAAAGGGCTTTGCACCATGCAGGATCATGCCTGTAAATGTGTGTTTTAAACCTGTAATAAATTAAATATAGTATAATTATAAGAGTAAGCTTCCACAGTTCATAAAGAGAAACAGCACAAAGGTTAAATCTGTTACTATTTCATCAACTATTTGTTTATTACATCTGAATTATTTTCTACAATGTTTTATTATTCCTGGAGCGCTGATAATGTGCTTTGCATTATTTAAGAGACTGAAAGTACACGGTCCTTACCTCCTGGGATCCTGGTGGTAGCAACCATCAATCCTTCTGGATGATGGTGTATACATGCGGGCCACCCAGACCTTCAATGCATACGTCTGGGCAGGAATTTTCGGAGGAGTGGAGGCTGCCCAGACCTGCCATCCTCCTTTTAGGCCACTGAGACAAAATTCAAAGACCAGATGGAGTCCAGGTGTTTGATGCCTTGATGGCTGTAGGTGTATAAGTATCTAGGAATCAAACCCAGGTCTCCTGTGTGGTAAACAAGGATTCTACCACTGAATCACAGGCAACTCCTCCTAGACTCTTACTCTCATGAAAATATAGTAAACTTGAAATAACAGAGCGAGCTGGAACCTCTATTTTACCATTAGCGTCATTGTGTCATTGTTGAATCACCTCTTGCGGGCATTATAAAAAGTGAACCTTTAGGATGGATTTCAACGAAATAGAGTAGCAGCTTGGCAGACTACAATAGGGGTGGCATTCTGTGTAGGGATAGGCTTAAACACAGACAGCTGAAAAACAGATCAATGAGGCAAGAATTAAGATAATTTATCTGTGAGATGTGAAAATACCTTTTATGTAGTAGGGTCTACAGATTAACTGCAATAGGAACTTCAGCCTGCTTACAGCTTGAGGATAGAATCAGCAGAGGGGGATATCCAGTATCTTGAAGTGCCAAAAATGTGACAAAACATCAATAACAAGAATAACTACATTCTGTTCTCCTACATTACAAAGAGGTTAACCATGCAATCAACTCAATTTGGAGCAATCAAATGCACAAATACAAACTGGGGAATGACTACACAGACTGCAGTACTGCAGAAAAGGACCTGAATATGAGTCAACAGTGGTAGAATATGAGAGTCAACAACATACTCTTTTTTCAAAAACATGCCAAAAGTATACCAGCTTGTATTAACAGAGGTATTGCTTGCAAGTCAAGGAAGTGATTCTTTGGCTCATCTACACGTTACACTTAAGGTGTGATTAACCAGTTAATTGCACCTTAAGTTGTTACCCAGTCACATGTTCAATCAATAAATGGTGTGATAAAACAAGAAATACACCACAAAGTTATTCTACAGAAAATGTTTAATAACTTTGTGGCTTGTTCTTATAATGTCATTAATTGAATGTGTGGCCAGATGCTCCCCTGTGGCTGGGAGTCCCATCAACTGAGGAGGTGCATTTATCAGCTTGCCTTGCTGCTGATGAGACTTGCAGCAATGGCAATGTGGAATGCTGCCCTGCTGTGAGCCCTGCAGCTGATGAAGCTTGTGGGGTGGGAAGCAGCATGTGGAACTGCTACCCTTGTCACAAGCCCTATTAGCTGCGGTGCTTGCAGCAGCAGGAGCCAGTGCAGGGGGAGCTTGGAATGATCCCCGGAATCCCAGGCTCCCCCTGCAGTGGTAGTAAGGTGTGATAGGATCTGGTGCGTGATCCCACAACCATGCTTCCTGACATGCTCATGGTCCTGGGTTAGTGCCCCAGTTGCCCCCACCATGATGCTACTGGTTTAGATGGCTTTGCTTTTGTGTAGAGCATTGGGGAAGACTAGGTAACTTTGTGAGATCCCTTCCAGCCCTATTTTTCAATTATTCTATGATAACCTGAAGTATAAGTACAGTGGTTTATCCTACTGTAAAACAGGTGAAATTTCCCCTAAAAAATCATCCCCTAGCCTTTAGATATCAGTTTCATCTCTATTCTGACTGACATATATGTCTGCAGAGTGGGTTAGAGCTATAGACCTTATTTCTTAAGGACACTTTGACTTTTGTTAGGTTAATCAGGCCTGAAAATCACAACCTCTTCAGCCTGAAAGGCATACACCAGAGGTTCCCAAACTTTTTCTTATTGCGTACCCCCTTCTAGATTTACCACCTGCCCACATACCAGCATACATTTTATATTTTAACCCCTTAAATGCCAATTATAATGAAAATCAAATCTGCCATTACAGTTTCTCCCATGTACCCCCTAGAGATGTTCTGTGAACCCCACAGGGTATGTGTACAACAGTTTGGGAACCCCTGGTATATACAGTATCTCCATCTCTTTCCCCTTTCTGTTCCTGAACGGTGCAGTGGAAAAGGTGGAAAGGCGTAGAGCAAAGATCTTGCCCTCCTTGTGCATGATCATCTGTCAGTTCATACCTGCTGCCTCTTGATACCTGCAGAGGTCACAGGGTATTTAATTGTTGTTTTCAGATGTGAAGAGGTCAACCACCAGTCCATCAAACTGACTTAGGATGAGTAAGGTAATTTCCGGGCACAGATTCCATTCTTTTTAATCTGACTTTTTCTTTAATTGTCTTTGTATTCATCTCCCTCTTGGTGAGCGAAGCAGAGTGATAGGAAATTTTGCTCTGTCAAGGACTGAAAGCATTGGTCTTCTTTCTGGTGTTGGGCCAATCATGTTCTTTCTAGTTCATTTATCAGCTCCTCATTAGACTATCCAAATGAAAACAAATCTATTATTCATGGAAGGAACAGTGTTCCATAATCTCAGTGAATCTTTATATTCCAGCATGTGGATGCTGTACAGTGGCCCAGTGAAGAGTATCGGACACAGTGGGTGCATCTAGGTGTGCATATTAACGTGTGTGAATAAAACTTGGAGCTTATCACTTTGGAGTTTATTGGTTCCAGGCACATCTCTTTGTGTGGACTGAGGACTGCGACATTTTGTGCCGGGGTGGAGCAGCCCCAACTGGCAGGGATCCTGGAGGCTGCCAGCCCAGGGCTGCTTCCCTCAGCTCAATGTGCTGTGGAAAGGCTGGCTGGGCTCTGTGCAGGGCTAGCCAGAAGGCAGCCCCTGCACTGAAGCACCCTCATTCCCCAGCCAGCCAGGGCAGCATCTATATGTGCACTGCTATGGAGTAAATTAGTTTACTCCAGCCCAATATGGACGCATGTGTAGACTCGAGAGGTTTGCTGCACAGGTAATTAGTATACTGCACAGTACGTGTCTCATGTAGACATGCCCAGTGTGGACACTTCCAATTCTATAAAGTGCAGTGAGGGGTCTTTGAGCATGACTCCTTCCTGCTGTTACCACCACTGTAACAGGCCTCTCTGAAACTCCCTGCTTAGCATTTAGAATTTTAGATCTCAAGCAGCATGCTAAATGCTATGTGATTTAGCAAATATGTTGCCAAAAAGACAACAAGGATTTGGGTTGAAAAGAGCAATTTCCATGTTCTGGCAGAGTAAGTTTGAGCATCCAGAGGAGTGGGGCTGGACCCAATGATCTCACAAGATCCCTTCCAGCCCTAAACTTCTGTGAATCTGTGAATCCACATAGAATATCTGTGAAGTAGCAATGTGATCCAGCATGCTTACATTTTCTAGTCTTACCTTTACTGAACGCCCTATTCAAAAAATGTTCAGCATAGTAATGTATTTTTAGTTATAAAAATCAGACATATGTCAGTTTTCACTTGATATTTCTTTGTTAGTTGTACTTGATTGCATTCCTATAATGAGAATGGATGGATGTGCACTTTCTTTTTATATGCTGAGGTATTTGTTCTACCTTCATCACTGCAATCTGCGTGGCTAGGGTCAAACATTCAAAAAGCCCGAGCCTGAATTGATTCAATCTTTGCAGGTTTGTCTAACCTGCAGAGATTGAACCAATTTGCAAGTAGACAGCCATCCACTGAAAATGAAGGCAAATGCCTGCAGTGGTTCAGGCCAGAAGCTTGGGGTCACTAGAGCAGTCCTCCCTTCCCTTCCAATGTTGACTTGACATGCGCCAGATCAACACTCAGGATCATTGTGCTGTTAGACAGGAGGGCATGATACAAAATTATATACAAACACACAACCTACACAAACACTCTGTGGGTTCATACAAAACTATATGCACATACCTAAACACACAAAGATGCACTTTCATGGCTGTGTGTTAACACTAGGGGGCATTTGGGGTAACTTGGTGCTTGGAGTTACTTGAGGTCAAATGGCCCCGGGGTTACTCGAGGTCAAATGGCCCCTGGGGTTACTTGGGGTCAATGTACCCTGGGGTTACTTGGGGTCATTTGGGGTTGGAGTAACTCAAGGTTAATTGGGGTTGATTGATCAAAGGAAAAGCCAAAAGGCAGCAGGGCAAAGGAGCGGTGCCAGGGAGAAGCCGGCACAGAATACAGGGCCGGGGCCGGGGGCAGGGCCAGGGCCGGGGCCGGGGCCAGAGCCATAGTGGAGAGACTGTGGGGGAGCCGGGAACTGGGTTGAGGAAGCTGCGGGTGCCCAGGTAGCTGCAGAGGAACTGGGAGAAAGCTGTGGGTGCCAGGAGAGGCTGTGGGTGCCAGGGGAAGAAAGCGAGGATCCGCTGGAGGTGGTGGAGGCAAGCCAGATCGGGGGATGCTATGGGAGGTGCCGGGGAGATTGGGGAGAAGGCAGAGGCAGTGAAGCACACCAGAGAAGCCGGGGACAGACAGAGGCAGAGGAATGGAGGGAGAGATCGGGATCAGGGAGAAGGCAGTGGTGGCAAGACACAAGTGGGAATGGAGAGAGAGAGATCATGGAGAAGACAGAGGCAGAAGACAAAGTGGAGGCTAGAGCTGGGAAGCCAAGGAATAGGGCCGGGAGGTCAACGGAGAGGGAGAGAAAGCCAGAGCTGGGGGAGATAGAGACGACAGAGAGGAATGAAGCCCAGAGGGAGGTCAGAGAGACGGGGATTTAGTTGGGAGCCAGCAGCAAGACAGAGACCAACGCGGGGTCAAAAAATATATATATCAGTTTTATTAGACAAGCAATGTACTATACAGCTCACGAAGTTATTGGTTCCTATACACACAAGCACTCACACACACACCCACACAACGGTAGCAGGAGAGGAAAGGCTTGGTGGAGGGATTAAAGTCAGGGTGTGTAGGAACAGAGTCCAGGTCCTTTGCTTGGGGAGGGAAGGTGGGTGATAGCTATCTATCCTGGGCTGTGAGTTGATCCTCGATGGCCAGTTGGGGTCTTCCCCAGCAAGGTGTTGTTCAGAGGCGGTCGCCGGCAGGGCCTCTGGGTGGATAGGTGGTGTGGCATGGTGCTGGTCCAGATGGAGAGGGCGTCTCAAAGAGATCACCCTCTTCCACCCCTTTTATAGGGGTGGGCTACCTGTGTCTCCTATGGGAAGGACATGTCCAGGCAAGGACAGTTCTGCTCAGATGCATAGTGAAAATCCAGGTGTCCTCATTGTCTGATGGGACACAATGGTGAGGTTGCTGGTTTCTGTATGGTCTTTGTCTTCCAAATGTTGGGTTCGTGTAGGTTCTTTATCTTTCAAATGTTGGGTTTTGTTTCTGTTCCTGGGTGAGGTCTGTGGTTCCTGGGTGAGTCAATGCAAGGCAGTGGTCTGTTTGTTGAATTGATGGTCCAGTTGTTGAGTTGATGGTCCAGTCATTGAGTTGATCATTCAGTAGAGGCCTGCTACCATTGTACCTCAAGCACCTTCATTCATTCCCATTCATCCAGGAACCAATTTACATGAGACTAGTTAGACATGAGTCACAGTTATAACATATTATAAAATAGGTTATATCAGGGCAGAGGACACAAAGTGGAGGCTTGACATACAAAATGGAAGCTTGTCATTACTTGACATTACTTTACAGACACAGGCCTAAATCATATCAATTAAAACAGTAAAAATCAATACAAACATAATAGAACACTATTTACAATGTAAAAGGGGCTTGTTACTATAAGGGAGTATAAGAACGTAACTTAGTTTACCTAGTACAACTTGTAGTCACGTATAAGGGTTAGAGAGAGCAGAGAGAAAGTAAAAATGGTTGGGGAAGGGGAGGGAATATATTTTCAAATGAAAAAAAGAAAAACTGGGGGTTTTGCTACACCACAGGGAAGCTGAGCTGGCGGGGGGAGGAGGGGGGAAGGTCCCAGCAGTCCTGAGTAAGACTGAGGAGGGGTTTAAACTTCCACCTTGGCCTGCAGGGTTCAGAGGGTGGGGGAAGAGGGAGTATGACCAGATGGGGACATAATCCAACTCCGGTGGCGGAACAAAAGGAGGAGGGGGAGAGTGAGTGGCGGCAGCAGGGAATTAAACCCCCTCATTGGGCAGTTCACTCCAGTCTACTGCCAGGGCTGACCATGCCCCCGCTGCTGGAATAGCCAGTGGAGAAATGCAGGTCACGCTGGTTGGACAGGGGATGAAAGGGGGGTGGGAATTAACCTCTTCCCTGGGCTGGCGTTTGGCCAGGCCCCCACCCCCGCCAGTTCCTGCTCCAACTAGGGAACAGTGGGGCGGGGCCAGGCCTGTTGCTGGAGCAGAGAGCTCAGTCCAGAGAGCATGTCAGGATGCTAAGGGACTCTGGTTTAACTTAAACCAGGAAGGGGTCTGGGACAGAAGTTGCATAAACCAGTTTGAGCTCAATCAGTTAAGTTTGATACTACATTCAACCAGGTTTATTGCAAACTGGTTTCGGCCATTTTGAAACTGGTTTATGTGCACTGAACTTATGTTCTGTTACAGGTTTAAACCAGTTTTTGAACACTTAAACCGGTTTAGTATAATGTCTGTTCCTAGCCTTTATGTTCTGGTACAGGTTGAAACCAGTTTCTCATCACTTAAACCAGTTTATGTGTAACTTGTATCCATAGCTGGTGTGTCTCAGAGACAACACTGAGTGTCTAGTAGTTTCACTGATGGGCGACTGGTGTTGTCCTTAGTCGGGGGGGCACGTGGCACCAGTGTTCCTACCTGTCCGCCGTATCCATTGCCTAAGTGGCAAGCGCGGCCGGTCAGGTGGTGTGCTCTCGGGGTGCACATGCCCCCCCGTGGTGCACCCCCTACGTATCGCCACTGGTCTCACTACATCTAAACTGGAATCAAAATCAACTGTGAACTGTAAAATCAATTTTAGTATCTATTAAATTATTTTAAATTTCAATCTTGAAAATTGAGGTCTTTTGATTAAACAGAAGGAACAAGCATTGTTAATAATTTAGCTTTTAGGTACATGCTTCCCTAACAAGGTATATCTATGTGTTATCTTAGAATACATTTTCAGTACAGAATACTACTATTTCTGCATAGTTGAGTGTGGTTATGGTATTTTCACTATTGGTTATGCTGTCTATTACTGAAATTCCTGTGTGACTTGGATTTTTAAGTACAATCAAACACAGGTTTTCATAATCCTATTGAGAGAAGTCCTTTATGCTCATAATATACATTCACATGAATATTAAATGTATGATTTCTCTGAGAAAATATACATTTCATTATTTCTTATGTGGATTATAAATATCTTTATTGATAATTTAATTCAGTTTATGATCTGGAAATCATATACCTACATTCACTAACATAGTTCATGAAATCCTGAGATGATAAAACCTAAGTGAAAACAGATTAATCAGAATGTAAAAATCAGGCTAATACATATTTTTCACACTCGTAGTATAAAGAAGTATCTAGTCTGTTTAATGTAACATACAGTGTCTGGTCTGCCAAATATAAAAATAAATAACATTAAGTTTGCAAATTCCTTGAATAAATAATCTCTACTTGCCATGTAATTAATACTTAGGGGTAGATTTAAATTTCAGTCACACTGATCCCATTAACATTAATGAAAGTTGTGCTACTAAATCCTGTACACCATACTGAAAACATACCCACCCCTTAGAATGCTACAAATAAATGTGAACATGAAGCCAGTTAATGAACAGTACATTTTAAGAACATTCAGGTTAACATAGTATTATCCTCTACATGAATAGGAGTATTGATATTGTAGAATTAATATTGTGGGCAATACTAATATTGTGGGAAAAACTCTGGACACCACTTTGATAATACAGGGGTTGTTGTTTAATTTTATATTGTTATTCATATGGCCTCTATGAAATCTTTCATTGTTTCAAAACCCATGCATTTCTATGTGGCAAACTGGCAAACTTAATTGTCCAGGATCATCATTGGCTTCAACATAGCATTTCTGTTTGTTTCTGTGACATTACTTGTTGTCTAATTTCTTGACTGTGGGGAGTACTGCTGGCTGGATGACGGCCTGGCGCACTAGATCACATCGGTGTGCAGTCAGGCTGGCGTGCAGAGTTGCTCTGTAGCTAGATCTGGGTGCATGAGGCCAGATCAGTATACAGAGTTACTCTGGTCCTGTGGACCAACTCTGCCCAGGGTCCAGCCTGTGAACAATCCCCATTTCACTCCTCCAGTCTGGGGCTGCAAGGTTGCGTATGACGTTGCAAGGGATCATAAAGCAAAGAGAAAGACATGATCCTGGTTTTCTTCTCAGAATGCAGGATGATATTTTTGTCACTTTCAAAGATCCTACACCACTCTGCTCCTCCCTAAATCCTCTAATATTGTATTAGTTTCCCCTCTATGTTCCTCATAAGCTTCTATCTGTGATGTTTCACTTATATTCTTCTTGCAATATCTTCTGGGTACCTACCTTTGTGCTGTAGAATGGTGCAGTTATCTCCAGTGTCCTCTTTGCCACTGGAATGTAGGATGGACATAGGCGTTGTGGTATCCCTTTCCACAGAGTGATGTTTGGAAAGCCCTTATAAAGTAGACTTATTTCTCTCAGTATATTACCTAAGGAATGCAATTCTGAAGCATGGTACAATAATTTAACAATATGATGCCACTATTGTCAAGACACTGAAGAAAGTATTTAGTGAACTCCTATCCTTGAAGAAAACTCAGACATATAAGATGCAAGAGTTAATACTTACCTTGTTTCCTTTTGTAGGATCGTCGCTTTAATGATGAAATTGACAAACTGACTGGATACAAGACAAAATCATTGTTGTGCACGCCCATTAGAAACAGTGATGGAGAAATTATTGGTGTCGCCCAAGCGATAAATAAGACGCCTGGAGGTGCCCCTTTTACAGATGATGATGAAAAAGTAAGATTGTGTTTATTTTGTATGCTTCATTTCCTTAGTATTTTCAGAGATATTCTCTGCAGATGTTATTGTTTCACCACTTATCTAATTATGTAAGATGAAACTCTTATCATCTGTAATCAATTGACTTTTTTTGTCAGGGTGATAATATTATTATATTTTGATAGCTTGAAGGTTCCTTGTGTACTTATTCTAAGTTATTTTAGTATTTATGCTGTCAGCTCAGTTAGTTTGTTGCTTCATCTATCTGGATGGGTTTTCTAATCGAGAATGTGTCTTCTCAACTCTTACATAAAGGTCTAGGTAGAACTAATAAAATGTTGCTGTCCCAGCCTTGTGATAAAATGATCATCACACACCGCAGTAGAGCTCTATCCTACCTATTCCTTATTTCATGAAGTCAACTGTTAGTTTTCTATTATTGTTTTATTCATTAGCTATTATTAAAAAGAAGCATTGTTTAAAAGAGTTAGTATATGTGGTATTTCACTTTCTTTATATTTCACTTAATAAAGACATGATATAGGAATAAAAATTCACATTCTATTATTTTTATTTATGCTTGATGTAATCACCACATTTGATTGTGTGCTGCCTCACATTGTTAACCTTCTGAAAGTAAAATAATAGAGGAGCCACAATTACTAATACAAAATGATTAAAAGTAAGTATTTCAGAGTTTTGTGTGTTAAAAAGTTATGATACAATATGCATAGCTTTTGCATTAGGACACATCCTCTTAGATAATTTAATTTTAATAAGAGTCATTGCATTAAAAATCCATTTAAAGTGGGAGGGAATTTATTATTCATGATCTCTTTTTATTTTACAGTAAACTAATTGTTTTTGACAGTCCTTTGGCTGTGTCCTTATGAGACAATCTTTGCTAATCTTTCCCACTATTGGACTCATTAGTTCAGCCCCACTGATGGGAGCCAGAGCCAGATTTACACTTCACTTGCTCATAGGCACAGGATCTTCGGCACTGCCTATCCGGACATGAGAGGGAGGGGGTGGTGCACGGCTGAACGTGGAATGGGGAGGAGGGGATGGCTCACAGGCGGGTGGGGATGGAGCACCACTGCCTCCCAGGAACAGTGCTGGGGCAGCGGTGGCAGCAGCACCCTTCTGCGGTGGGGAAGGGGAGTTAGTGGGTGGTGGCAACTGCCACCGCCTCTGGCACATCGGCACCCCTTTGCATGTGCCTGCTTTGTCTTATGAGTAGTCTGGCTCTGATGGGAGCGTTAGTGCAGATGTGATTATAGGTGGGAGTTAGTTTTTTAAAGCAGTGGGTGTCAACCCTTTTGACAGGCATACCACGTATTAGCCCTATAGTCTCCATGAGTGCCACTCCAATCCCTTTCCCCTGTCTGATCTTCTGTTTGCTTTCTGCTCCCTGCCTGGTTTCCTGACTATTCTACTGCTCTGCTTTTCACTCCCTGACCTATCTGCTGCTATGCTACCTGCTTTCTCCCTGATCTGCTATGTGTTATACACAGAGGCTGCCCATTTATGATGTCTGCAATATATCTACATGTCTAGTATATTCTGCATCACATATCTAATGCTAAATACTGATATTTCTTCATGGAATGTTCTCCATAGATTTCTGATTTGGGATTTTGATGCACTCAAGGCTGTTTAAAAATTAATAACGTAGAAAGAGTCCTATGCCCTGATACGTAAACCAATATGTATCCACCAAAAACTTACATCATTAGTTCCTGTTTTTCTCTCTGTCAGCAATGCATGTATGTCATAGTCTAGAAGAAAATCAGATATAATATGGGCATACACTGACATTGTGTGTGTGTATAATCTTATTTTCTTTTAGAACATGATAAACAAATTTAACATTGCCTATAAAATGTATAGTCTATATTACAAAAAACAATTTAACCTGGATATGTATTTAACATATTATCATATATTATTTCTCTTAGAACATGGCATATGCATTATATGTGTGGCTCTATATAGACACTTATACACACAAACCTGCTTTTATGCTGTGTGACACTTCACTCGAAAGGTTCTCATTATATTCTCAGAGCACTTTTATCATTGTGAGCTAAAATTATGTGTAGAATGCTCTTATGTCTTCTTATTGGTTCAGATATTGTCAGGTGCACCTAGACTGAAGTCATTTGACACCTTATTGTGTGTCTGTTTGAGAACTTGGTGAATGTGTCTTGTAGTAGAATCCAGCTTCTCCGATATCAGTATCTTCAGAACTGACAGTTCTTTGACTACAGGTCTGCCTTTGAACACCACTCCATGGCACATCTTTTCTTACACAGCTTTCAGTCTTTGAAATGTTCAATTTTTTTATGAGAGCCATGTTTAGGTAGTTACTTTTATACTACAACTGTCATTTTCCATGCCTAGCCCTCGGTTTGCACTGGGTTCCACACCCTGGCTAACATTTTAGAGTATATTATCTTGCATTGTGGAATCTAAGAGGGTCTTAAAGTTATACACCTGGATACTTACACATTAGGAGTTCTGGTTTTTTTAACCACTCAGGAAAAAGCCCCATGCAGCATTATGGGGGTGACTCAAAGCCAATGTGTACTGAATATCCTAAATGTTCAGTTGTAGTTCAGATAAGATTTTAACGTTAAGAAGTGAGGCAGTGGATAATAATTTACCTTCCTTCACACACACGTGTGTGTACAAACAGAGAGTATAGTATGAATGTTGACTCTATATACACGACTCACACATTTTTAGTCACCAATTGTAAATTTTAGTCAGCCATTGAGGTTAACTAATATAGTGAAGTGCATGTTGTGTGGATCAGAGATAGAAGAGACAAAGATAAACTTTGTCTTGTCTTGTCCTTAACCCCTTAAATGCCAATTATTATTCTAATGAAAATTAAATCCACCATTACACAATTTCTCCCACGTATCTCCCCAGAGATGTTGTGTGTAACCCCAGGGGTACACATACCACAGTTTGGGAACCTAATCTAATCCAACCCCCTGCTTCCAGGAGTTTGTAACTATTACGTCTGGTTTTCCCCAAGGGTGCCTTGGTGAACAGTTTTCACCGAGCCCTTGGTGTATGCCCCTGATGTAGTGGTAAGCCACTCTCAAGTCCCCTCTCACCCTTCTCTTTTTCAGGCTGAAGAGTCCCAGGTCCCTCAGTCTTTCCTCGTATGGCTTGCCATGCAAATCTCTGATCATATGGGTGGCCCTTCTCTGGACTGTCCCGAGCTTTACAACGTCCTTGTTGAAGTGCGGTGCCCAGTACTGAACTCAGAACTCCAGTTGCAGTCTCACCAATGCCGAGTAGAGTGGAAGAATCACTTCCCTAGTTTTGCTGGAGATGCATCGATTAATGCATGCCAGGGTATTATTTGCCCTGTTGGCTACAGCATCGCACTGCTGATTCATATTCATACGGTGGTCTATTATTACCCCCAGGTCCCTTTCATTTGGGGAGCTGGTCAGTTTGGCCTTGCCAAGCTTGTAGGTGTGTAATGTGGGCGGGGGTTGTCCCTAGGTGGAGCATTTTAATTTCTCGACATTTAACTTCATCTGATTCCGATCCACCCTGCTAGCCTGTCTAGGTCCACCTGTATCTGCAGCTTATCTTCAAGCGTGACTACGCTCCCCCATAATTTGGTGTCGTCTGCGAACTTGGCCACTGAGCTCTTTACCCCCACATCCAAATCATTGATAAAGATGTTGAAAAGCACTGGATCAAGCACTTTGCATGCTGTGATGTGCTGCTGTGCAGTATTATTAGGCTACTGTGCAGTTAGAGTCTCTTGTAGACGTGCCCTCTGATTCAATGGGTATCTTTTGGAAAGAAGCATTTTTGATTAATGGTAATGTTTTGCTTATTGTTATGCAAAGGTTCTCCTTAAATAGAGGCTGGTGCATAAAATTTTCTCCTTCAGAGAAATCCACAAGTATTGCCATCTTTAAAAATGACCACCCTCTATCAGTGTTTTCAGTGTCCACTGCTTACAGTGCGTGCAAAAGAAACTAAGCTTACTGTAGAGAATACAACACCTGCTTATGCTTTTGGAGTGAGAGTAAAACTGCAAGAAAGAGGAATATGCAGGGA